ACCATCAACCCCAAGATTTCAAATTTTCTTTCTAACAACTTTGAATGTTTTCTCTCTCTATTTAGACTCTATTTTTTTCTCCATATTTAAACTCTATAAACCTATCTAAATTTAATAAAATTATTTTTTTCTTCATTATCCTATATTTTCCTTATACCTAAGCTCTACCCATTTTTATCTCTCTCTCCTAAACTTTAGAATCTTCATCTAAAAATTCGAAATAATATTATTTTTACTTCATTATTGCTTGTTTATATTGATTTTTATTTTTTTCTATGAATTTTTTATCCCTAACTTTCTCTAATTCTCCCTAAATACATGAACAAATCAAATTTTTCATCGTCAAATTTTAGTATATATTTCATAATATTCATATAAATAATTATATATTTTGAATTTTATTATTTTTATGTTTATATTTGTAATATATATTTTTCTCTTTTTTTTTTTAACAACCTACTACGAATAGCGAATTACTGTTTGCAATAACAATTTGGGGTTGCAAACAGTAGCACCTTGTTGTTGTTTGCAGTCTCAAATTGCTATTGCAAATAATAATTTTTTTGCGTGATGCCTAACAATATATCAAGTATAATTTTATATATATTATTAATATTATATATATTTTTTATTTTATGCAACTTGTAATTATATTTTTAAATATTTTATTTGATCAAGTCTTTTTATTATAAATTTTATTGTTCAATATTGTTATGAATTTCTACTGAAATAGTTTTTTTTTTTTGTTGATGTTTATTAATAATATATATAAGTAATTAGCATATAAGTCTCAATGTACTATTGAAAAATAATAATGTTGAGAATGTTGATGTGGGTGAAGAACTATATAATAAGAAGAATTTTATGATATATTTTAAATGTTTTGTAAGAAAATTGTAAATGATAAGAATCTAAATTATTGAAAGTTTGTAAGGATGTATTCAATTTAGAATTTCAATGACTTTTGTAGACTGTTTAAAATAAAAAAGTTGTAAAAGTCTATGAATGTTTTTTATATAGACTTTTATAGAGTCTTATAAAGTTTAAAAAAGTTTTGAACGACTCTATGAAAGTCAATCAAAGTTTATTAAAATCTATCATTTTAAAAGTCTTTAAAACTTTACAAAAGTCATGATTGAATACACCCCCTAAGAAAATTATTAACTTAATTAACCGGGTTTTGAATCCAAGTTCTTTGAAAGGAAATATGGAAGACTAATTAGTTGTAAGTTGTAACACAAACACAAAACAAACATTATTTTCAGCAATTAGATTCTAGGTATAACGAATTAAAGTAATCACACCTTGGCATGTAAAATCAAATTTCAGTAAAATCGAACCTCAATATCCTAACCAGAGTGTATCATCATATATACATACAGAATGAGATGGATTAGTTAAAGACAGCTAACCTTCAACTGCGGTATTCTGAGCCTCGCAGACGATGGGGCTTCCGCGTGGAGGTAATTTAGAGGTGGAAACGATTGAGCGAGGCGGTTGGATCTTAAGACCGCGGAAGTGGGAGAACCGAACGGAGTTTAACCTACAGGAGATGGAAGAGGCGGCGACGGGAGCCAATGAGGATGAGACCGACGTGAGAGGGAAGGAGCGAGGAACTGTAGTGAGAGCTTCCAGTACAACTGCCATGGCAGAATTGAAGGGTGTGATATTTACAGGGAAATGGAAAGAGAGTGAGTGAAAGAGAGTAGCGGGCGACGGGGCGAGTAGTAGAATTTGTTGGGTAGTTGGGCGTACGGATCATTCGGATTAGGTGACGAATGAATGGCTGCCACACTCCACACCACGTGCCGTGAACTGGAGAATATATGGAGAACTGTGATTGTATTTCTTTAATTGCTAGTGGTTTTAGTCTTACCTATTATAGGAAAGTAAATTTCACATTTAGGTGGTGTCCGGCGGCTGTCCGCTAATGCAGTAACTATGAGTTCTTATACCAGACCTTATGCCATGGAACCGTGTTCACCTTTCATGGTGAACACGGTTCTAACGGTGTTAGTACACCGATATCTTTTTTCTTTCTTTCTTCTTCTTCTTTCTTCTTTTTTTTTTTTTTTTTTTTTTTTTTTAATTAATTGCGTGACTTTTCTTCTTTATTTTCACATTTTGCGGTTTCACTTTAATTTGAGGTGAACAAAAGATTTCGGACATTCATAAATTATGAATTCATGCCTGCACATTCACTTTGGAACCATGCCTACACATTTCCGTCCGAAATCACGGACATTCATAAATTATGAATCCATGGCTGCACATTCACTTTGGAACCATGCCTACACATTCACTTTGGAACCATGAGATTATGAATTTTCTGTTATGAGATTATGAATTTTCTGTTATGAGATTATAAATTTTCTGTTATGAGATTATGAATTTTCTGTTATGCGATTATGAATTTTCTGTTATGAGATTATGAATTTTCATTACATTCATAATTTCGGACATTCATAAATTATGAATTCATGCCTGCACATTCACTTTGGAACCATGCCTACATATTCCCGTCCGAAATCACGGACATTCATAAATTATGAATCCATGCCTGCACATTCACTTTGAACCATGCCTACGCATTCACTTTGGAACCATGAGATTATGAATTTTCTGTTATAAGATTATGAATTTTCTGTTATGAGATTATGTATTTTCAGTTGTGAGATTATGAATTTTCTATTATCGATTATGAATTTTCTGTTATGAGATTATGAATTTCATAAAATTCATAATCTCATAACAGAAAATTCATAATTTGATCAAACGTGCGCCATTAACTCCACATTCGCAAATTATTTTTTTTTTTTGCCTAAAAAACGACGTCGTTTTGCCTTGTGTTCACCATTCTCCGGTGAACACGATTCCATGGCATAATTTGCGGTTCTTATACCAATTGTCATACTTACCCGGTTACCCCAAACCAATTGTCATACTTATTTGTTTATTGGTTTATCCTACTATTGAAATTAAATTATTTAAGGTGTATTTGATTAAAAACTTTTATATTTAATTATTGATTTTGATACTCATTCTCATATCCATTAAATATGAAATTTTAAATATATATATTATATATATATATATATATATATATATATATATATATATATATTTCTATATATTTATTATTTTTATTTTAATTATAAATTAATTTTTATTTATTTATTTAGATTCCAATTCCTATTTTCAACCAAACAAAATGACTCATTCTATTTAAACTTATTATCTGATGGGGTGAGGACCCCGACCCAAAAGGACGGGCCCAAAGAACAAGGTATAAGTAACCCAAGATAAGAAGTATGGGTTAGTGAAAGAAGAAGCCCAGTAGAGGCCTGGGCCGAGTCCAGGAGTCGGCCCAGGCCCAAGTAGAAAATGTGACTCGGCCCAGGAGTCGGTTAGAAGCATTCAAGTCGGTCCAATAGCCGTTAGGAGGCACTCAATGCAGCATTCAAGAGAGCTCGACCCAACGGACCGTTGGAAGCCCAGAGAGCGTTGGCCGGCTCGGTAACGGCGCCCGAACGGTCGCGTAGCATAATTAGCCTTGAAGGCAATAGTTTAATGTACTTCAATTTGGCTGGAGGAGCGCCTACTATATAAAGGCCCCTCTACCCTTGTAATTAAGGGGGGCCATGCACAGTGAATAAGAGACACACATTCTAGCTATTATTTCGACTACTCTCCCTTTGCTAAAAGCTTTGTGAAAGGTGAATCCACCAACCAAGGTTGTGTTGGACTTCCCTGGGTCCAAAAACCCAAAAACCAACACTGGCGCCGTCTGTGGGGATTGATTCAAAGAGCTACGTGACTTTCTGAGTGAGGCGAGTCCGCAGGTCGACCAAGAAAGCATCACAAGCATGTCAGAAGGACGAGACCAAACGAATAACAGTGATAATGGAGCGGAATCAGATTTGAGAGAGCAGTTAAACCAACGAAACGCCTAAAGTCAGGAAAACGAGACAGCACCGGTAAACCGGCAACCACCTATGATACCCCTCACCCCGGAGCAACTCCACGCAATCGGGCGAGCCTTCGCTGACGCAATTCGAAGAGTGAGGGAGCAGTCGGTCTCTCGACCGATGCCTCGCCATCAGCAACCTTCCCAGAGGCCGGAAGACAGACGAGAGAACCGGCGGGCGGAGAGTCAACCAATACGATCGGTTCACTCGAGGCTAGGTCCGAACGCCGGACGGCAATCTGCACGATAACGACTAGGGGAGAGGGAGCCCAGCCGCGCACCAGCAGGCCCCCGAGATCAAGAAGCCGGTCCGCGAAAGAACTCGCACCAGGAGAACCAGGACTCGGGCACGACGGACCGAGCGTCTCGCGCACAATGACGACCGACTAGCTGAATCGGAAGTCGGCGAGAGTACCGAATCCACAGGAAACCATACCCGCAATAGAGGCAATGTGGCCCAATTGGCCCGAGAGGTACGAGATCTGAAGGAGCAAATGGAGGGAAGGACTAAATCCCTCGGGCAAACGTTGCTTACCGCTTTGCCATTCTCCTCCGAGATCATGTCTTACAAAGTGCCCAACGACTTCAAATTCCCGGAGCAGGCCACCTTTGACGGATCAGGCGATACACGCGAGCATCTGCTCAGTTATCAGGCCAAGATGCAAGTCTTAGGAGTCCGAGACCCGGTAATATGTCGCGCCTTCTTGCCCACGCTAAAAGGCTCGGCACAAAGGTGGTTGGTGGCGCTGCCTCCAGGACCGATTCACAATTTTGAGGAGCTGGCCGATCGCTTCATGAGTCATTATGCGGCCAACATCAAACCACAGAAGGATTTGACTCATCTGGGACACGTCCACCAAGAGGAAGGTGAGTCCTTGAAATCTACGTGGTTCGCTGGCAAAAAGAGATCCAGTCTATCGAGGAGGTCGAAGACTAGACCGCACTCACTTTTTTCATCGAGTCCTTGCGATCCGGGCAATTATACCGGGATCTGCGGGATAATCGCCCGGCCACCTACGCGGAAGCTATACACATGGATAATAAGAGGGCTAACACGGAGCAGGCCATGAAGCATAAACGACAGCGCGAAGTCGGAGGATTCGCTGGTGGAAAGAGGACCCGTGCGGAAACCAAGAAAAGGCGTCCGGAAAGGGCTCGGCGACCCGAAGCTAGGCATCCCTATGATAAGCCTATCGTTCATCCCTATAGGCCGGCTCCTCAACACTCGGTACACGAGGTACAAGCGGTCGCTCCACCTCCACCCCCGCCGACTGACGATCGCGTGACGAACGAAGAGACAGGTAAGATCTCTAAGTACTGCCGCTATCATAAATCTTACACTCACAGCACGGAAGAGTGCTTTTACTTGAAAAAGATCATGGAAGGAATCATCCAACAAGGGACCCCGCCTCCTAATCAGTGGAGGCAGAGGTCGGCGGCACGGGAGGACAATGACCCCGCAGTCGCCGCCGAGAGCAGTCGCGGCAAGCAGCCAGTGACCGAGGAAGATGAGGCCCAGTGGCGTCAGAAGCCGGTTATCAACATGATAGTCGACGGACCAGAAGGGGGCGACTCGGCGAACACCAGAAAGGCCTGGGCTCGACAGTTGTATGTCGGGACAGTATACGGGCGCGAAGAAGGCTCGAAGAAAGTGTGCCGGGAGCCCATCACGTTCACTAACAAGGACCTACCCACGGGGGAGACACCGCATCAAGATGCCCTGGTCATAGCGATGGACGTAAATGGGGTAGTCGTTCGACGAATCCTGGTTGACACCGGGAGCAGTGTCAACGTGCTATACCTCGAGACTTTCACAAAAATGGGACTAACCCGAGAGCAGCTGAATCCAGTCAAGACGCCACTCGCCGGTTTCACCAGAGACTCGGTGGAGGCAGAGGGATCCATTACCTTACCGGTGGAAGTTGGCAGCTATCCCGACGTACAGAAGCTCAGCATGAAGTTCATCGTGGTGAACCTAGCCTGCTCACACAATGCTATACTCGGCCGACCAGGCCTGGAGGACCTAGGAGCACTGATCTGGATTGAGCACCTCTGTCTGAAATTCCGCACACTGAGCGGGATAGGCACGGTACGTTGCGATAGAAGAGTCGCCCGCGACTGCTATCTACAGGCCTGCAGGGGGATGGGCAAGCGTGAAATGCAAGTCCACGAGATCACGGAAAGGCACCCAAGAAAGCGATGATACCCCGCCCGGAGCCGGCCGTGGAATTGGAAGAGGTTGAGATAGACCTTGAACAGCCAGACAGGCGGGTCAGAATTGGAGTGGGTCTCCTTGAGGAAATACGAGAGGAAGTTATCAAAGTACTCCGAGAGCACTGACTAGTCTTTGCCTGGGGTCCGGAGGATATGCAGGCGTCGACCGGTCCATCATCTCCCATCGACTCGCCGTGGATCCGGACCATCGGCCGGTCGTACAGAAAAAGCGGTATCTCGCCAACGACAGGAGGGAATTTGTAAAGAAAGAGGTGAGCACGCTGCTGGCCGCGGGCCACATCCTAGAAGTTAAATACCCGGAGTGGTTGGCGAACGTAGTCCTCGTACCGAAGCCCCCAGCTTGGCGAATGTGCGTGGATTATACTAATCTTAACAAAGCCTGCCCAAAGGATCCGTTCCCCTTGTCGCGGATCAATCAGCTGGTCGACGAGACCGCAGGGTCGGCTCTGCTAAGCTTCATGGACGCCTTCAGGGGGTATCATCAGATCTTCATGCACCCGGCTGACGAGGAAAAGACCGCGTTCCTAACACCAGACGGGGTATATTGTTACCGAGTTATGCCCTTCGGACTTAAGAATGCTGGGGCCACTTACACTCGGATGGTCGCCCGACTGTTCCAAGACCTCCTGGGGAAGTCCATGGCGGCCTACGTAGACGACATGCTTGTCAAAAGCCGAGAAGAGATTAAGCACGCGGAAGATTTGGCCGACTGCTTGCAGGTGATGCTAAGGTATAATCTCCGACTAAACCCAAAAAAATGTGCCTTCGCGGTGCAAGGCGGGAAGTTCTTAGGATACATGGTGACAAAACGAGGAATTGAGCCCAACCCTGAGAAGGTTCAGGCCATCATTGACATGCAGCCTCCTAGCACCGTCAAAGATTTACAACGGTTAACTGGTCGACTGTCTGCCCTCAGTCGCTTCTTAAGCAAGGCGGCAGGCAAAACCATACCATTCTTTGAGGCCATGAAGAAGAAGGAAGGCTTTGCATGGACGACCGAGTGCCACCAATCGTTCGAAGAGCTGAAGTAGTATCTTTCTACACCTCCGGTGTTGTCCACCCCTCAGGTGGGTGAGCCCTTGTTCTTATACTTAGCTGCTTCTCCCAAGGCAGTAAGCTCAGTACTGGTTCGGGAAGAAGAGCGTACCCAACACTCGGTATATTACGTAAGCCGCTCCTTGAAGGCCGCCAAGACGCGGTACATGGCTTTGGAAAAAATTGTCTACGCACTAGTAATCACCGTACGCAAGTTGGCGCCCTATTTCCAAGCTCATACCGTCCGGATCCTAACCAACCAGCCTCTGGGGAGCGTATTGCGGAACCCTACGTCGTCAGGTCGACTGGTAAAATGGGCCGTGGAATTAACCTAGTACAGGATCGAGTATCAACCACGACCGTCCATAAAAGGGCAAGCCTTGGCCGACTTCTTGATCGAGTGCACAGTAGGGGAAGGCGAGAAAGAGGGCACCATGGAAGATAGCTCAGGCGAATGGTGGGAGATGCACGCGGATGGAGCGACAAGCCAACAACACTGTCGAGGCGGAGTCATGCTAATTACTCCAGAGGGCTTCCGGCTTTACTACGCCCTAAGCTATTTATTTCCAACGTCCAATAACGAAGCCGAGTATGAGGCTGTGTTGGGTGGTCTTCGACTCGCCAAAACGCTGGGAGTGGAACGATTGCGAATTAAAACCGACTCCCGGTTAGTGGTCGGACAAATCTCCGGCACCTGCGAAGCTAAGAACGTCCGGATGACCCAGTATAAGGAGAAGGCGATAGAAATGCTGAAGAAATTCGGAACACATGAAACAGAGTACATCTCCCGGGCGGACAACATCGAGGCCGACATATTATCAAAAATTGCCTTAGAAGGAATACCAGATCACCTCGTCAAGATTTGCCAAAAGGAAGAGTTAAGTCGGCCAAGTATAGAGGAGACGCCATTGGAGGTCCAACAGGTAACTATCGAGGAGTGGGATCGAGAGAAAAACCCTGAGATGTTCTGGATAGAAGACATCCGGCGATTTAAGGAAACGGGAGAGTTGCCAGAAGACTCCGGAGTCGCCGCAAGGGTTCGACGAAAAACCCCTTCATTCCAGATCATTGACGGGCAAACGTAGAAGCGGTCATTCAGAGGCCCCCTCTTGAAGTGCCTACTCAGGCCTGAAGCCGAGAAGATAATGGATGAAGCCCATTGAGGAATCTGCGCCGCCCACCAAGGGGCCCACACTCTCGCTCGGAAACTAGTCGTCCAGGGGTACTACTGGCCGACCATGATGCGAGATTGCATCGAGTGGATAGCTAAGTGCGGCGTTTGCCAAGCCTTCGCCCGGAAGGATACTCGGCCGGCCACCTTCTACACGCCGGTCACCACGGCCATCCCTTTTACTAAGTGGGGAATCGACTTGTTAGGACCGTTGCCAGTCGCCCCTGGAAGCCTAAAATTCTGCGTCGTGGCCATCGATTACTTCACCAAATGGGTCGAGGCCGAGCCACTGCCACCATCACCGAGTACCAGTGTCGACGCTTCCTGTGGAAAAAGGTGATTTGCCGCTTCGGCCTGCCCGAGCACGTAGTTAGCGACAACGGTCGATAGTTCGATTGTCAAGCCTTCGCCGACTTCTGTCGCCGGCATAGTATACGACACACAAAGGTATCCGTCGCGTACCCCCAGGCCAACAGACAAGTCGAAAATGTAAATCGAACAATAGTGGACGGGAATCGGAAGAAGTTGGAGGATATTGGAGGAAGTTGGGCAGATGAGCTCGACCGGGTCCTATGGGCTTATCGAACTACGCAAAGACGGGCGACCGGAGAAAACCCATTTTCCTTAGCATACGGCTTCGAAGCCAAGGTCCCTATAGAAGTCGTCGAACCCACCCACCGTGTTCGCAACTATTCCGACGAAGAAAATGAGGAGAACCTGAGGATCGAAAAGAAATTCTTAGAGGAGAGAAGGGAGGTTGCATGCGCCCGGATGGTTGAGTATCAGCAGGCCGTGAAGAGATATCGCGATCGGAGGATTAGCCCACGAACCTTCCAGGTCGGTGATCTCGTACTACGAGATCGACAGGCCAGCCAGCCTACAGAAGGGGTATATTCGCGATCAAACGGGAGGGACCTTACCGCATTGCAGTCGTGGTCCAAGCTGGCACCTATAAACTGGAAACTCTGGAAGGGAAGCCCGTAGACCGGATCTGGAACGTTATCCACCTGAAGAAGTTTTACTAATAAAGAGGTTAGCCATGTGTAGAAATCCGAGTTCCCGATCTTGAATAAAAAGGTTTCGATTACCATCGGTTATCGTTTTTGCGAGAAGAGATAGGAAACAAGGGCCCAGATCCTTAGCCGTTTCTGAGAAAAAGCCAAAAGGAGTCGCTTCGACTGAGGGACTCGGCGAGTAAATTAAAGAAACGACAGGGCACTGACCCTAAACCGTTTCTGAGTAAAGAGAAAAAGCCTAAGGAGTCGCCTCGACTGAGGGACTCGGCGAGAAGAGATAGGAAACAAGGGCCCAGACCCTTAGCCGTTTCTGAGAAAAAGCCAAAAGGAGTCGCCTCGAGTGAGGGACTCGGCGAGAAAATTAAAGAAACAACGGGGCACTGACCCTAAACCGTTTCTGAGTAAAGAGAAAAAGCCTAAGGAGTCGCCTCGGCGAGAAGAGATAGGAAACAAGGGCCCAGACCCTTAGTTGTTTCAAAGAAAAAGCCAAAAGGAGTCGCCTCGACTGAGAGACTCGGCGAGAAAATTAAAGAAACAACGGGGCACTGACCCTAAACCGTTTCTGAGTAAAGAGAAAAAGCCTAAGGAGTCGCCTCGACTGAGGGACTCGGCGAGAAGAGATAGGAAACAAGGGCCCAGACTGTAACACCCCAGATTTTCAAGACATTTAAAACTTATAATAAAGGTAGAATCTTATTAAATCCCAAGATATAAATACAAGCGTTCGGGGTGCTATGCCACACCTGGGCTAGAGAAACCAAGTGCACAGGCTAACTAACTAATATCCTCAAAGCGTAAATACGTAAACGTGGCACGCAGGCCAAAAGGGAAACTATCTACTTCTAAGTTCTAGCGCACTCCAGTGACTTAATCTTCTGTGCCTTAAAGCCAAATATATCTGTTCAGCGAGAGATGCTGGTAACCCACTCCAACGCGTTGAAATACAATACATATAGAGATATATATAGATATACGAAAACCATTTTGAGCATGAAGATATATCCTACGAACTCTAGCTTTAAAAACCGGGAATGACTCAACAGATAAGGCCAGACGCAAGCAACAGTTATAACGAGCATATGCAGTTCACAACAGATAAGGCAGATAAGGCAAAGCATAATCAATGATCATAACCCAACATGAGTAATCCCCAATATAAATCCCATAGTCACATCCCCCAAGACACTCGTAATCACAACTCGTCCATGTCACAACACATAACACACTTTGTTGGCGCCACAGGACCAATCGCATGCCCATACATGAGGGTCAGCGCATATAGCTCTGACATGGCCCCGCAGCACCCTGCCCCGTATCGCAACACGGAGGGGTCGATCGCAACTGACCGATGAACCGCAGCTCATCATAGTGTTTGATCGCAACCAAACAGTGGACCGCAGCCCAAGAGAATGTCATCTGACCGCAGCCAGGAAAAAGGACGAACCGCAGCTCGTATAGAAACGTTTGATCGCAACCAAACGGTGGACCGCAGCCCAAGAGTATCAATCTGACCGCAGCCAGCTTCTGAACCGCAGCTCAGGATAACCAATCCGATCGCAACCGAATTGGGGTAACACACACATAGCACATAGCAAGCACATGCAACCCACATTACACGTTAGGAAGGGGGAGAAAACGTATAACAAAACCTATGCGTGATCCATCACTTACTAAGAATAGTCCTAAGGGGTTCATACTTCTTCCACCTAGGTCAACGGGATACCAATTCAACTAGCATGCAATATA